AGCAAAGTCAGTGTATAATTAAATATTTATTAAAATAGAAAAAAATAATGAGTTTCATATATTAAAATGCTACATAAAAATCACTTATGCACGCTTACAGAAGTTTGTACGCACCTGGTATTATGGCCTTACTGATCAGCTTAAAATACTTACAGGAAGCAAAGTCTAGGTGGAGACTGTGAGCTGCAGTGAATGACTGGTTTTCTTCACTCATTGCATGCCTATGGCAAAACAGTCTTCAGATGCTTAGAGGAAAGTATCGTATCAAATATTACATTATACACAGAGGGAGAAGTGAACCGCAGAGCTGCTCTGACCTATAAGCAGCTTGTTAGTCTATGATTTATGGGATTACGGGAGACAAGCATTTATGGTACCACAGCTTCTCCTGAATTCACTTAATACCATCAGTTACACAATTTAAGAAGTAACAATGGTTAGTCTATTCAGCTCTTTGCACACAAACACAAACATGCAGTTGTGTGAACTGCCGTCTTTCATTGGCTATGATTAGAAATAATTACACTACATGCAACTTTTTTGCTTTAAACTTTTACAGTTATTGCCACTTGCAAAAGTCCATTAATAAATACCGTACTTAATTCTAAGAACTACATAGCTGTTTTGTGAACATACAGTGAGGAACAGAAGTATTTGAACACCCTGCTATTTTGCAAGTTCTCCCACTTAGAAATCATGGAGGGGTCTGAAATTCACATTGTATGTGCATTCCCACTCTGAGAGACAGAATTTACAAAAAAAAAAAATTCAGGAAATCACATTGTATGATTTTTAAATAATTTATTTGTCTTGTACTGCTGAATAGAAGTATCTGAACACCTAAGAACATCAGTGTTAATATTTGGTACAGAAGACTTTGTTTGCAATTACAGCGGTCAAACGTTTCCTGCAGTTCTTGACCAGGTTTGCACACACTGCAACAGGGATTTTGGCCCACTCCTCACACAAATCTCCTCTAGATCTGTTAGGTTTCGGGGCTGTCGCTGAGCAACATGGAGTTTCAGCTCCCTCCAAAGATGTTCTATTGGATTTAGGTCTGGAGACTGGCTAGGCCACTCCAGAACCTTGATATGCTTCTTACAGAGCCACTCCTTGGTTATCTTGGCTGTGTGCTTCGGGTCGTTGTCATGTTGGAAGACCCAGCCACAACCCATCTTCAATGCTCTGACTGAGGGAAGGAGGTTGTTGCTCAAAATCTCACAATAAATGGTCCTATTCATCCTCTCCTTAATACAGCACAGTTGTCCTGTCCCCTTCACAGAAAAGCACCCCCAAAGCATGATGTTACCACCCCCATGCTTCACAGTAGGGATAGTGTTCTTGGGATGCAACTCATCCTTTTTCCTCCAAACACGACGAGTGAAGCTTAAACCAAAAAGTTCTACTTTGGTCTCATTTGACCACATGACTTTCTCCCATGCCTCCTCTGGATCATCCAGATGGTCATTGGCAAACTTCAGACGGGCCTGGACATGTGATGACTTGAGCAGGGGAACCTTCCGTGCAATGCATGATTTGAAACCATGACGGCGTAGTGTTCTACCGACAGTGACCTTTGAAACTGTGGTCCCAGCTCTCTTCATGTCATTGACCAGCTCCTCCCTTGTAGTTCTGGGCTGATTCCTCACCTTTCTTATCAGTGATACCCCACAAGGTGAGATCTTGCATGGAGCCCAAGTCCGTGGGAGACTGACAGTCGTCTTTAGCGTCTTCCATTTTCTAACAATTGCTCCAGCAGTTGATCTATTTTCACCAAGCTGCTTGGAAATTGCCCCGTAGCCCTTTTCAGCCTTATGGAGGTCCACAATCTTGTCTCTGGTGTCTTTTGACAGCTCTTTGGTCTTGCCAATGGTAGTAGTTGGCATCTGCCTGACTGTGGGGTGGACAGGTGTCTTTAAAGAGCTCAGACAGGTGCTACTAAGTTAGATTAATGAGTGGAGTAGAGGTGGACTTTTTAAAGGCACAGAAACAGGTCTTTGAGAGCCAGAATTCTTGATGTTTCTTAGGTGTTCAAATACTTATGTTCAGCAGTGCAAGACAAATAAATTCTTTAAAAAAAATTCAGGAAATCACATTGTATGATTTTTTTAAATTCTGTCTCTCTCAGAGTGGGAATGCACCTGCAATGTGAGTTTCAAACCCCTCCATGATTTCTTAGTGGGAGAACTTGCAAAATCGCAGGGTGTTCAAATACTTCTTTTCCTCACTGTATGGTACACTACAAGTGTGATTTCCTGACCTGTTTGTAACATTTTTATATTTTATATAATAGAGAAATTTTAATTTATATCTTAAGCAGGAGAATGATGTGTAATGTCATTGTTAAAAAAGGCAGAGCAACAAAAGGTACCACATATGTAAGGGGCCATTTTAGCTTCTGTTCTATGACTAGAAAAAATATTCCTTCAGTCAGGAGATGGGTGCTAGATTGAGGGGAGTTCTGCAGAAGCTGTAGTGAAAGTAAAGCAGCCCACAGATGAGTCTTTTTGTTTTTCTTTATTCAACTAGTAGGTTGAATGAAAACAAACAAAAATGACTAAATTGCCCATTCACACATTCCATATGAATGGGGGACCCTTCCCACTGAGCCTTTGAAATATGACAGCTGGCTGTACACCACCAGAGTACACTGATCAGCAGTGGCTATAGCCGACAGGGCTGATCAAGCAGGGGAAAATCCAACAGGCTGGTTGTATAGAAGTCAATTGGTAGATCCACTTCTGTACAACCAGCCTGCCCATATATGGATTGAAATTCTTCCAGTGCCTGCTAAACCGGATGAACTTTTCAACTAGGCCTGCCATGTGAGTGACCTCCTGCTGTGTTCCTCTCTATTATGGGGGAACGCAGAACAGGGTCAGAGTTCCCAAAGGATTCCTTTGATCTGAGAGACTGCAATGAGTCATGAAACTACAGAGACTAAAACTTACCAAGGACTTTACCAGTGACAAAGACTGCTCACCTTTTCTTCCAAAAGGTTTTTGGAACAGTGGATCCACATCATGCTGTTTAAACAAAACTTGTACTGATAGACATATACTCACTGACCACTTTATTAGGTACACCTTTTTAGTGCCAAGAAAATACCCCCCACGCAATTACACCCCACCCACCAGCCTGAACAGTTGATACAAAGCAGGATGGATCCATGCTTTCATGCGGTTTACACCAAATTCTGACCCTACCATCTGAATGTCACAACAACTGGTCTGTCCATTCTCCTCAGAGCTCTGACATCAACAGGGCATTTTTGTCCACACAAATGCCATTCACTGGATATTTTCTCTTTTTCTGACTCCATTTTCTTTAAACCCTAGAGATGGTGGTGCATGAAAATCCCAGTAGATCAGTCGTTTTTTAAATACTCAGATCAGCCCATCTGGCACCAACAACCATGAAACATTCAAAGTCACTTAAATCCCCTTTCTTCCCCATTCTGATGCTCAGTGTGAACTTCAGCAAGTTGTCTTCACCATGTCTACAAGCTAAATGCATTGAGTTGCTGCCAAGTGATTGGCTGATTAGTAATTTATGTACCAAGCAATTGAACAGGTGTACCTAATAAAGTGGCCGGTGAGTGTATATAAGTTGCCATTGCTGAACTTCCTCTGAAAATGCTAGACCCTTGGCTCTCATGCTTATCTCTGATTTTAAGTACTTTTTAGGTCACTGATTTGGAGTAAATAAGCAGAAAGGAAGTTCTGACAGTAGGACTTTCTTGATTTGAATGCTTTCCAGGTCATTGGCTCAGGCAATACTAAAGCCAGATGGGGAAAGTGGAAAGATAGCACTGGACCCATAGGTTTATTTTACTTGTATTGTTATCTTAAAAGGTATTAATGTTGATGTAAACAATCTGGTTCCTGGGCAGGCAACTTTTACACCCCAGAGGATCTCCACAGTTTCCTTGGCTTGTAGTGTGATGTAAAAAAAGTTGTAATTGAAGTGCCACACCACTGCTAAGAGGTACAGATACAACTTTATTCTATTAAAGGTCAGGTACAATTCAAACAGTAGGCAACACATTTCAGGGGTCTAAGTGCCCTCTTTACCAGGGCTTGACTGCCTACAAAGTTAACAAACCAGAAGTGAACTGGAATGGTTTGGCTACCAAACAAGCTGCTGATTAGGCCTGTGATTTTAACTCACACTGGAAAAAATACCATTGTAGGTCCAGTTCACTTCTGGTTTGTTCACTTTGTCAGTTGAACCCTGATGAAGCGCACACTTAGACTCCCAAAATGCATTGGCTACTTTTTGAATTGTACATCTGATGTTTAATGGAATAACTTGTATCTGGACCTCTTGGCAGTGGTTGTAGTGCCTCAATTTCAACTCTTTTTACAATTTTAAAGCCAGAGACAGCCAAGCAGCTACCATTATAAAAACTGTGTCAGAAAAAGCTTCAATCAGTACAAGTTTTCTTTGATTAAAACACAAACCTTTCCTGCATAATAATAAGTTATATATTTAATTAAACAAGAAAGCATTACCAGATTATTTATGAAAAGGTAGGCAAAAAGAATCTAACATTCCACCACCAAACCAATGTGAAGCAGAGTAGATCCATCTTAAAACAGAAAGCATCTGCAGGTCTAACTTTGATCACAACTCCCAAAATAAGGCTTAGTGAGTGGAGCCAGCAGATCATTCATTTATGTCCATAGGTTGGCTGTGCATCAATAACATTCGTCCTGCTTTTTAGCTGCCATTGTGTCCATGCAGTGCACCGATGATAGCCAACAAGCAAGAAAAAAAAAATATGTGCAGTTATAGAATAATATTATAGAGAATTGTATTTCAATCTGTGTTGAAAACCTGCAGTTTTGGATGCACAGTTGGCCCAGGGGAAGGATTTTGTGACTTCACCCACAATTCTGAAGTGAGGAATTAACCCTTTATTTTTGGCATTTAGATGAAAATGAAGCAAGGTGACATTCTGCTTTAAGAAGGCTCTGCTGTATTTAATCATATAAAATTTACCTCTCTGAAGTGATCCCATTCTGGGTTGATCCAAAGTAGTGTCTCTTCTTATCAATTGGCATAACATCCACATAGCCCCCTTGATGATTGCGGACCACCCCAGCATGTAGAGCTGCTTTGCAGATGCTAGATATCTATGGCAGAAAGAAGAACAATGAAATTAAATGGTTTCAAATTTCAACTTTTTTTTTAATAGCACAATGAACTTTTTCCTCCTGCAGCCGCTGCCAATCGGAGGAAGAAGAGGAGAACCTGGCTTTCAGTGGTTGCAGGAGGAAAATGGAGAGGATCGATTCCAAGATATGTCGGCCACGCCACCCCTCCTGTCCAAGTGTAAAACAGAATGTGACAGGGAGACCACATGGGGGGGGGGGGGGTCAGCGTTACAACCCCTGAACAACCCCAGTGGATCTCAACTATGGGGTTTTACCTCCTCCAAAACCACAAATGTAAACAAGCTCTTACTGTCCCGAGCCTCCTATAAGGCTGCTTTAAGACTGATGCTCTGCGGTTTACCCGCGCTGCAGATGCAGCGAGGTGCACCTGCGGTTTTTCTGTGGGTTAGCTGTGCTTTGCCATATACTTATATTATATCTTGCAGGTGTGGTGCGCCAACCTCCTGCATTCTGAAGTTTTGGTGCACTTTCAGAAGTGCACCAAACCTGCAGGATAGAATAGACTGTGCTTCCCTGGTTTTAGGTCAAGGGCCACATCAGAGCACCCCACGCACCACAGGTTGAGCTCCCTTGTCCTATATGTATACCTATATGGTATACAGTAGGAAAACCATATGTAACATGACAATCATATACGTGCAGACATACATTGACCAAAGCGGAGGAAAGACTACACTAAGAATTTGGGTTGCTTTTCAACAGAACAGGTGAAGAAATATCTCCTTTGCAAAACGGAACTCAACAACTCAGGTGACAAAGAAGCAGAATAAGAAGGGTACCCACCCTGATGAGAGATGGGATAACCCAAAATAACAAAAAGGAGGGGGGAGCTAAGGGATCTGTATCTTAAAGATGTACTTTCACAAGTTCAGCCAAGACAGTACAGTACAGCAGCCTGCATACGTTCCTACACATATCAGAACCAAACAAGCACTCATAGTTGGCTGCCTCTACAGATCAACAAGTTGCCCATTTTAAATACAGAAACAATTGAGTACTGTCCGTGATACTTTTTTTATTTGCATTAACATACAATTTTGAGGACAAGCTTTCGGGGAATGTCCCCTTCTTCAAGGTCTAAGCAGTACTAAGTTGTTTCTGTCGCAAATGCACTAATACGGCTACAATCAACTCAACCCATTTTATATAAAACTTGTCACATCTGTCCTGGTACGTTTGTACCCATTCCTCTGCTTCCATAATAGAATTGGCTTGTTTCTACTTCTCAATTGAGGGCACCTGTGTCTTTTTCCAGAATATCAGTAAAAAACGTTTGGTAGCATTTAATAGGATCAGGGGAATAATACATTTTGTTATACTCCCCAATGGAGATGGTGTGAAGGAGAAATTTTGTCAGGTCATCATGAATTCAGACACTAATGATATCTGGGATTAGTTTTCCGATGTAAGCCCTCCCTTGGGGCACTCCCACCATATATGAATATGTGACCTTTGCTGACCACAGCCTCTCCAACACCTATCCAAGACTGAGAGATATGCCAATGTTAATAGCTTCAGGACCCTATACCACCTCATTAAGAGTTTATAGTTGGTCTTTTGTATTTTAGAGTAGATAGAGGATGTGCCAGTCCCAGAATGATGCGTCTTTGGGATTCTGAAAATGAGCAATCCATTTCTGCCTCCCACTCTGTAAAAACAGAAGACCCATAAGGATTCCATAGTAATTCAAAAGCCTATATGAAGTGGTTAGCAGCCCCTTATCAATGGACAACTTAAGCCAAAGGCACTGAAACCCAGTAAGATAGTCCAGTGTTCTGATTCCCCTCAATTGAGTAGTGATAAAGTGTTGCAGCTGCTGTCATCTCCAAGCATCCAAAGGAAACATTTGACACACCTTCCTGAGTTCCTCAAGCAGGCACAGTTTTCCAGTCTGTATGAATTTGAGGCAACTAATGTCACCATCGATCGCCCATGACGTGAAGAAAGACAGGGTTTCATCTGGGGGCAACCCAACAGAAAAAGGGGAAATATTGGTGGAGACAGAGCCCCCTTTATTAATGTTATCCCATACTTTCAAGTACGAGAAGTAGGTAGTGAGGTGGTATCTGAAAGACCCCAAAATAAGTGTGGGATCCCCGAGGCATGAGCCAAGTTACAGCCTACCACAGTTTTCTTAAGTATTACCAGAATGTTTGATGTCTCCAATGGAGTATTCTAGCCAGACACACTGCCCTTTAATAATTTCTCGAATTGGAGAGGCCTAGTCCACCCTCAGGTTTAGCTCTCATAAGAATTTGGCCTGGGCTTTGCATTTCTCCACACAATTTGTGAAGATCTACTTGACACAAGAAAAGAACGTCTTCTGAAATTTAATAGGTACCATCTACAATAGAAACAACACTCTTGGAAATATGTTAATTTTTATAATATTAATTCTACCCAACAATTTAAAGATGGCCTTATCCTAACTTTCAAATCTTGATTTATCGTTCAAAGCATGGGAACATAGTGGTCTTTCTAAAACTTGGTCAGATTCCAGTCAAAAGGAAAGGATTGTCAGAGCCAACCATAGCCTAAGGTAAGTATAAAGGCAAGACTTTGGACTTGGAGAAAGTGGTTTTAAAAGTTCAGTAGGGTTCTAATCTCATTCAGGTCCACCATCAAACTGGGGTCCGTGTTATCAGCGTGTCCGAAATGTAAAACAATATATCATCCGCATAGGCGGATCATTTGTGTTCAATGGAATACACCTTAATCTTGTGAATGTTTTGGTTCTCTCTGACCTTAGGAAGCAATGTCTCTATTAGTGCAAATAACAATTGGAACAGGAGGCAACCCTGTCCCATTTCTGATCTTAAAAGGTGGTGAGAGGGTACCATTGACCTTAACCCTGTCAAAGGTTGTCCCATATAAAGCTAGAATCCTGTGTAATAATTTGGATCTCAAACCTAGGGCAGTTATGGTTTCTTCTAGGAAAGTGCAATCCACTTTGTCAAACACCTTTTTTGGTGTCATTGAACAGGAGTAGACTATGTGGATGTACTCACTGAGTGAACCCAGTGAGTCAAATGGTAGGCCCTTATTGAGTTATCTCTGGCTTCCCTACCCATAATACACCCCTGTTTGATCAAGGTGGACCACTGCTTAGAATAAATAATGTAGACAAGATGTGACCAGTTTTGCCAAGATGTTAACCCCTACCTGCCACCACTGTATACATCAGGAGCTTTCTGGTCCTCGATGGTAACTGTGCACACACAACACATGCAAAAGCTTTTACATAGGGCCACATATATGTGGCCTCTTGGCATTAAAGCCCACCCGCCGAGAGGCTGCATACCTCCTGCAGGAAGAAGTTATTATCCAAATTTAAGAGGGAGTTCGGACGGTAGTAGTGTCTTTACCCTCTTAAAGAATGACAGTTATATGGGCCATAAAGGTGGTATGCCATTGTCCTTAGTCAGGGAGTTGAAGTAATCACACATATGTGGAGTAAGGAGAGATAGGAATTTATGATAATAAGTGCTATTGTAGCTATCTGGCCCTGGACTCTTCCCTTTAGAGAAGTCCTTAATAATAAGACCATTTTCCTCTTGAGTAATCAGTTTCTCTAAGGAGGCAGTTAATTTCGCAGATAGTTTTGGATAGTGCACCTCTGGAAAATATCTCTGACTCTTATGTCTGTGTACTAGACATTCTTGTGGCGTGGTCTCCACAATTAAGGTATAGAGGCTGTGCAAAAATCATGAAATTGCTTGGTTATTTGGGTAGAATGAAAGACAGATTGTCCCACAGAGGATATAAATGTATGCACATGGCATGTCTCCCTCTTTTTCTTAAGGCCCTAGCCAACAGTTTTCCAAATGTTTTCCCACATTAATAGAATTTATGTGCCCAATACCTCACATTCTTCTGGATCTGTAGATTCAGGAGGTGTGACAATCTGTCTCTCAAATCATTAATTGGCTTCCCAACTCTGGGGATTGAGAACATTGACAGTATGTATGTTTTCTAATTGTTCTATCTCCACAATCAATTGCTGTTTATCCTTAATTCTCTGTTTTTTGACCTGGGATATCAGAACTCCTCTGATGACTGCCTTGTGTCCATCCCAAAGTGTGCCTCTTGATATATCATCTGTACTATTAATCTCAAAATTTGATTTATTAGTGTCTGATATGTCCAAGGCAGTGAGGTAATCCAAAATGTTGTGCATGTTGCAGGTCCATTACTTATCCACACTGACATAGGGCGTGCATGAAATCGGATCCCACTTAAGCCCATCCCCCACCATAACTGAAAGGAGATAAATAAATAAAAAAAGAAACACAGTAGAATGAACATAAGGCCTTTTGTGAGGTCTGGAGGCAGTAGACCAGGAGTAAAGGAGATGTTCCTTTTGGGGGTATGAATATCACCATGACTGAGCTGTCCTACTCCCCCCCCCTCCCCCACCTAGACATAATCTAAACATGGTAAAGTGTAGCCTAAAAGTGACCTAATGAGGTCAAAAATGTAAAGCACAACATATACTGTACTGTCCATTGTGGACCATAGACAGTCTAGCAGGGGCTCTAAAAATCAAGTTCTGATAATCTGATCTCTTGGTGCCGATTCCCTGGGCTTTGTAAAGGAGACCTACCTCTTGCTGGACATCCTCACAGGGAAAACAGGGCTGCCAGCAGGACCACGAAAGTAGAGGTTCAGTTTGAGAGAACGGGAGCTGAAAAACCATGCGTTCCCTCACGCACATAGCCAGGACACGCCCCCCCCCCCCCCATGGTGCTTTTTTAAACACAATCTACCTGCTGGGTCTCATATGACATACTGTTCCCCAACAGTTTTCAAGATAGTATACGATTTAAAAAAAATAATGAAGTGCCCCCTACTCCTTAATTATAATTCACAATATTTAAGTCAAGAAAAATAAATCAATTGATCACATATACCGAAATCAAAAATAAAAATACCACAATGCGTCATAACCTCTTCACCTTGACTTTAAATCTTCACAAAGAAGTGAACAAACACCACCGCTGTGCACAGATGGGTGTACCCTCACCTTGTCAGTTGGACCTAACTGTTTTTAACAGAGGTCAAACAGCGCTTATGGTATCTCAATGCACTTCCCAGTTAGGAATTTAAACCGCCACTTCTTCTATACAGGCCTTTTTAGTGAGGCACAAAAACGTATCTGTAGAAAAAGCCTAGGATCTCAGCATGGCAGATCCTTTTGTCAATTTCAATACATTACTCCTGCGGGGTAGTGGTGGCAGATCTAAGACACAAGGCAGGTAAGTGAGATCTGGGAAGTGGAGCTGCAATCTGGGGTTGGGAGAAAGGAACCTGATCTATACTTCTCGAAAACTTTGTCTCAACCTGTTTGGGAAGCTTCTTGGTTTCCTGTTGCTTGCTTAGTGGTGTTGCAGGCTCAGGTGTCTTTCAGAATAGGGGTATTGTATTTATACTGAATTTATGTGACAAATCATGCAACATTTTGAATGCAAATAGGTGGGACCTTTGAAGTTACTACTCGGTTTGACATCTTTTTAGGTGTTTTATAGCAAAGGGGTGAAAGCATATGCACACTAGGATTTTCAATTTTTCTTTTTTTTTTGTCTTAATTATAGATTGTGTAATAAAAAATATTTTGCACCTTCAAAGTCATAGGCATGTCATGTACATCACAATACAAAGCCTAAAAAAGTACAAAAATACATCTTAATTACAGAATGTAATGCAACAAACTACTTTCGCAGGGCACTGTACATAGCCATTTAATAAGCCAACTAAAAAACATTAACAAAGTTTAACTTTAAATTCCAATATCTAAATTTAGCCCTAAACGCAAAGTGTCCTATGAAGTTAAAGTGCACCTACACAGTAGCAATGTTACTTGTTCCCTTCTGGTCTGTTAAATGTACGATTGAATATGTTTTGCTATATCTGCTTTATATGTGCAAGAGATACCTGTTGATTTTTCCTTCCAGATTTTTTTGAGCTGATAACTTCCTGTGCTTTCTGCCTGGCATAGAAAGGAGTTACGCAGATAATGAGGGGGGAAAGAAGAGGCGAGCCTTGTGTTTTTTTGTAATACTTTGGCTCTGAATTCTAAAATATGGTGTCAACTCTGTCAACCTAATTTCCAAAGACTTACTACTTTGTCATGTCAAAGAAGAAGGTGAGAGCACACTGTATGGTCAATTTACTAAAGGCAAATAGGCTGTTCACTTTACAAGGAAAATTGCACTTGGTGAGGGAACTTCCCTCAGAGCTTAGTGATTGTGTTGGCATTTCACTTTGCATAGAAAAAACAAAAAAAATAATAATTTTTGCTTGAACATGATTGAATGATGGAAGTCAGCAGAGCTTCACCATAATTATTAAAGGATAAGCTCGCATTTTGGACAAAAAAAAAAAAATGCATATATTTTTGCAGGTAAAAAAATGTGCATTTATTATTTTTGTCCAAAAAGAAGTCTGGAAAGCATTGCACCAGCAATCAGTAGATCACTGATGCCATTCAGGTCTCCTGAAGACCTGTCAGAATATCTGCTTGCTCATACAACTCGTATGAACTCAATGAACTGCCACGGCAATCCACTGCACCATGGTAGTTCATTGAAAACTACAAGCCTACAGCCACTAAGGCTGTCGGGACTTGCAGTTCATTCATTCACAGAAGTCAGTGAATGAATGATGCAGCCATGTGGGCAGAGCCCCGCACGTCTGCACCATTTTAAAATCTGACAGATTTGAAAGGGAAACTTCTCCTCGTATTATCTGTCAGAGGGGGGGGGGGGGGTGGCGGGCACTGCTACAGCTATGGGAACATGTTACATACCCTTAAAACGGGTGGAACACGTAGCATGTTCCCAAAGGTGCACTTATCCTTGAAGCTCTGGGGAAACTTCCCTTGCACAGTGAACCGCCCATTTGTCTTTAGTAAATTAACCCCTATATTTCTAGCATTCTAACAGATTTTTTTTTGTATTTGAAGCATGTTTAAAGGGATTAAACATAGGGAAATGTGCATGTTTTGGAGAGATGTACAAAGCCTTTTTTTGCCTTGACAAAAACTTTAAAATCTGTATTCCAAAACGGATCTAGATATAATTTGTGACAAACATTTTACAGGTTTACACTTATGTCTAAAATGATGTCTGCTAAGGTCAGAGGTCTCCAACTCAGGTCAAGAAGATTTAACCTTCTGCTGTCTTCTCATCCACTAGCCTGAAGGGCTCTGGTAAATTACCAGTTTTAGTCCGTGGGTGGTATCATATAGCCTAAGTGAGCTCTTTTATTAGGACACTCTGTTATTGTAACACAACAGGTGACTTAGGCAGTAATCTCTTATAAAGCTGTCAAGGATATTCTAAGATCGCTGTGTTTAACAGTCCTGTACACATTATGCAAGAAAGGTATTCAGTGACTTAATAATTCTGAAGAATAAAATCGTCTTAGAGAACATGTACACCTAAATGGATGACATTTCATTTTTATAAAAGTGCTGTGTATTTTTTTTTTGTGAAAGCTGCAAATTTAACAAGCTTAAATATGACTTTTGAAATTACATTAAGAAAGATGGCAATCCCTTCTTGTCGCCTCCTTCCAGCTCTTTAACTGGATCTAAATGTAGGGAGGTGCAGGCGGGCATTCTGATCATGTGACCGCTGTGATTGGCTGTCACAGTAGTCACATGATTGGAAACCTCCCAACCGCAAAGTATCCATCGAGAGCTTTCTGTTAGATGGTAGTTGCACATATGCAGCCACTTGGCGTTAAAGTTCACTCGCCAAGAGGATGTGTATATGCAACATTTAAGATTTTTTTTTTTTTATACCAAACATGTCATACTTACCTGGTTTTTCACAGAGCAGCCCTGATCCTCCTCTTCTCAGATCCCCCTCCGGCACTCCAGGCCCCTTGCTCATACCTAGTACCCCCCATAGCAACCAGCTTGCTATGGGGGCACCAAAGCAGGCTCGCTCCAGAGCAGCTGCTCTGTGTCCATTCATGCACAAAGCACAGCTTGCCCCGCCCCCACTCTCTCCTCATTAGCTCAATGGCTGTGAATGACAGTAGCAGGAGCAATTGGCTACCGCCTCACCCAATGAGGGAGGAGAGACCTGGAAGAGCCAAGACTCTTGTGTACATGGATCAAGAGGGAGATCAAGTAAGTTTTAGCAGGCTGGGGGCGCTGCACGCAGAAGGTTTTTTACCTTCATGCACAGAATGCATGAAGGTAAAAAAACCTTGAGTCTTTACAATCACTTTAAAGCTTCTAATATAACTACAGGTCTATACTTTTTTCTAAACACCATACTCTAAATGAAAGTACTTACATCAGAATAAATCCGGGTTCCAAAGACTCGAGCATAATGTGGACTTGCTTGAGCACAATTACGTGGACAGTACACTCTAGGAGAAAAACAAGTTGCATGATGGAATTAAATAAAATACGCAAATGTATATAGTTTTGTGTTAAACAGTCAGTGTTGTCATTGTGGTTTAAATCTCATATCATTAACCTATAAACTGACCAAGCACTATGAAATTAGGGACATAGTATAACTGTGCACAATGTAGATTCACCTTTCCCACGCCACTGGTAAAAGTATTGTATACATAATAAGAAGAGCTAAAATTTGACACTATACTTGTCAATCAGTGACTTGAACATGTCTGTAACTATTTATGTTTGTCAACCTTTCAAGGGTCTTATAATTACTGGTGGAATGTCATCATAATAAATTACCTACTGCACTGCAAAACACAAGAAAGGACAGATAAAGGTGTTGGTTTTCCATTAGTAATGGGGAAACAAGAGCCAGCACCACTATATTTCATATTAGGCCATTAGTGAGTTGTGTGGGTAAAATAATGATCTCTCAGTATCAAATCCCAACTCCAGCCAGAGGTACTTATTTAATTTTTGAAGGAATGGGAAGAGTGACAGTTTCAGATTTTTTTATTGCCATCTGTGTCCCTGCTGGGAAGGTTTCCCCTCACATCCTGGCAGGACAGGAAGTAATGGGAAATCTTTTCAAAGTAGACACAGGCAAAAAAATATTTTAGTAAAATGAGAAAAGGTTAGAACTTGAACTTTTTTTTTTGGTGTCTGTGCCTTCCTGTGCTCATGACAAATGGTGTGCATCCCTGGACCTGCAAACGAGGGAAAATATTCCCAACAGGGTCACAGACAGTGGTAAAACCTGATAGAATTAGGAACTATTCCCCACGACACATTGTCACAAGTGCTTAAAAAATAAAATAAAAGCAAAAAAGGTGAATAACATTCTGCCTAAGAGCAGAGACTACTAAATACTCGTGATATGCTGTATCTTAAAGTGGAATTCCAGTCAAAATCTAAGGCTAAATCAACTCCCACTCCCATTTTAAACCTATCTAACCCCATAAAGAAAGGATCCCTATACATACCTCTTCTAAACCTGCTCTGTGTAAGGGGGTGCCCCATAGAAAGTCTATGGGTGATGTCATCTTCCAGGTATTTGCAGCTTTCGCTCCTGCACATAGAAGTCGCCGCTGGAGACCAGACTGTAGTGGCTTCAGAATAAGTATAGGGATCTTTTCTTTACAGTGTTAGATAGAATATGCTAATAATAGGGGTGGAAGTAGGTTTAGCCTTAATTATATTTTGACTGGAATGCCACTTTAACTTTTTTTTTCTAGGATCCGACTTCCTTTTCAGAACTAAACCCACAACCAGTAAGGACATGGAAAGAAATGGCAGTTAGTGTATGGCTAGCTTTGGTCTTGGTTATTACATTACATTACATTGAGTTTATATAGCGCCAAAGGGTTTGCTCAGCGCTGTACAATAGAGGGGGGGACAATACATGAAACATTACAGCAGCTACGAACAGCACACGAGGGGTAAGAGGGCCCTACTCTTTCGAGCTTACAGTCTGGGAGGGAGGGGGTAGTGGTACAGGAGGAAGTGGCTGTGGGGGATGGAGTGGTAGGAGGAATGAAGGAGAGCAGCAGTTAGGTGAGGGTGGGGTAGGCTTCTCTGAAGAGGTGGGTTTTCAGGGAGCGCCTGAAGGTGAGGAGGGAAGGTGACAGTCTGATGGATTGGGGGTAGTGAGTTCCAGAGGATGGGGGGAGGACCTGGAGAAGTCTTGCAGACGTGCGTGTGAGGAGGAGACCAGGGAGCAAGATAGAAGGAGGTCCTGTGAAGAGCGAAGGGTACGGGTAGGGTGGTACTTGGGAATCAGGTCGGTGAGGTAGTTAGGGGCAGTGTTGTGAATGGCTTTGTAGGTCAGAGTGAGTAGTTTGAATTTGATGCGTTGGGCGATAGGGAGCCAGTGGAGGGAGAGGCAGAGGGGGGTGGCAGAGGTGGAGCGGCTGGTGAGGTGGATGAGTCTGGCAGCTGAGTTCAGGATGGTCTGAAGCGGGGAGAGTTTGCACTGGGGGTAGGCCGGTGAGGAGGGAGTTGCAGTAGTCAAGGCGTGAGATAATCAGGGAGTGCACAAGTAGTTTAGCGGTGTCTGGGGTAAGGAAGGTGCGTATTTTGGCGATATTGCGGAGGTGGAGCCTGCATGTGTTTGTCAGTGATTTGACATGAGGTTGGAAGGAGAGGTTAGAGTCCAGAATGACCCCAAGGACTTTGGCTTGCGGGGGCGGGATTGATGGTGGTGATGTTAGTAGTGATGGATAGGATGGGGGGGGGGGGGGGGGCGCGGGCAGGAGGGAAGACGAGAAGCTCGGTTTTGGAGAGGTTGAGTTTGAGGAAATGGAGCGACATCCAGTCAGAGATGTCGTTTAGGAGGTGAGTGATGCGGGCGGAGAAAGTGGAGGTGAGGTGAGGGGTGGAGAGGTAAATTTGAGTGTCATCTGCATAGAGATGGTAGTTGAAGCCGTGGGAGTGTATGAGTTTGCCAAGGGAGGAGGTGTAGATGGAGAAGAGAAGGGGTCCAAGGACAGAGCCCTGGGGGGACCCCAACAGAGAGGGGGAGGGGAGGGAAGGGGAGGTGGCACCATTGTAGGAAACGCTGAAGGAGCGTCGGGATAGGTAAGAGAGAGAAACCAGGAGAGAGCGGTGTCTCTGACGCCAAGGGAGAATAGTTTATTAAGGAGGAGGGGGTGGTCAACTGTGTCGAAGGCCGCGGAGAGGTCCAGGAGGAGGAGGACAGAGTAGTCGCCTTTGGCTTTGGCGGTAAGTAGGTCGTTGGTGATTTTGAGGAGGGCGGTTTCGGTGGAGTGTAGGGGACGGAAGCCGGACTGTAGTGGATCAAGGAGGTTGTTGTCAGTTAGGTGGGCGCTTAGGCGGTTGTAGACTAAGCGCTCCAGGAGTTTGGAAGTGAGTGGCAGCAGGGAGATGGGTCTGAGGTTGTTTGGGTCAGAGGGGTCCAGGGAGGGCTTTTTGAGTATGGGGGTGATGTGCGCATGCTTTAGGGGGGAGGGGAATACGCCGGTAGAGAGGGAGAGATTGAAGATGTGGTGTGAGGGAGCAGATGAGGGAAGAGGGGGGGTGACTGGAGGAGTCGAGAACAGGGGATAGGGTCTAGGGGGCAGGTAGTGAGGCGGGCTTCAGAGAAGACCCTGGTGACTTCCTCAGTGGTTAGCGGGGGCTGAAGGAGTGCAGAGCTGGTGGGGTTACGGTAAGCGGGGTCTTGGGTGTGGAGGCGGGCAGTGCGGTTGCGAGGTCAGAGGAGGGAAGAGATGAGGGGGAGATAGGGGGGGGGGAGGCTAGGTGGGGAGGTAGATTGCGAGTTGACTATGTCCTGACGGATAGCATCAATTTTATTGTGGAAATGAGTGGCAATCTCGTGGGCGGTGAGTGAGGTACTGAGTGGAGGAGGGGGGGGGGGGAGAGAGCAGGGAGTTGAAGGTGGAGAAGAGTCGGCGAGGGCAGGAGGAGAGGGAGGTGTTAATCAGGTTTACGAAGTAAGCCTGCTTGGCGGCGTGGAGGGAGGAGGGTGTAAGTGAGGAAGGCAGATTTGTAGAGGGAGAATGAACGGGGGGACCTGGTTTTGCGCCATAGTCTCTCCAGCGCACGACTGCGACGTTTGAGGCATTTAGTGTGGTCGTTCTGCCATGGTTGGAGCGGTCTGGGTTTGATGTAGCGTGTGGTTAGGGGTGCCAGAGAGTCTAGGGTAGCTGATAGTGAGTCGTTGTACGTGTTAGTGGCTAGGTCAGGACAAGACAGTGGAAGGATTCTGTCGTGTAGGCGGTCGGCAGCTGAGTGGAGGGGGGCCGGGTTCAGGTTGCGAAGGTTGCGGCTGGTGATGGTTTGGCGCTCTGGGGGGGGGGGGAGTTAGGGGAAGGGGAGATGGAGAACGTGAGGAGGTGGTGGTCGGAGAGAGGGAAGGGGGGTGTTAGAGAACTGGTTGAGGGTACAGAGGTGGGAGAAGACGAGGTCCAGGGTGTTCCCAATGATGTGGGTGGAGGATTTGAGTGTGCTGTGTGAGCGCGAAGGAGGAGGTTAGGTGGAGGAATTGGGAAGTAGCCGGGCTGTTGTCATTGATGGGGATATTGAAGTCCCCGAGGATGATGGTTGGTAGCTCAGAGGAGAGGAAGAAGGGAAAGTGGTTAAGCCCCACTAATAGATTTGTACATTCAGCCTACGGGTTAAGCCTCACAAATAGTTTTCTACATTCAGCCTATGGGTTGAGCATAAGAAATCTATCAGATTCCTCCATCCTGACAACTGGCGTGGATGGAGAAATCTTCTTGGCCAAGCTATTGTATTCTCCAGTGAAGAAAAAAGCACCCAAGAAACGCAGAAACTTTGGTGTGAGTTCAAACAAAAGTAGCAAGAGGACAAAAACAGGTGAGAGCTCACTGGCTCAGATAAGGCTGCTCAAAACAGACAGGGCTACCTTCCTCTGGATACCTAACAGATACCCAACACCAATAGAAGGAGCGGCAGAGCAAACCACAAAAAGGACTACAAATTAAATCACTGTTTTACACAAAAAACAATGTATTTAAGGGGCCCAGAAAAGAAAAACTCTCCCTTCATCAGGGCTTCAGTTAAAATAAAACTTGAATGGACTCAAAATAGGGCTTTCCTGTGTGAATCTATGTAATGCAACTAATTGCTGGATTAGGAGAATTACTAGTCAGCAGCAGCTGCGTGATCAATCGAGATGTTGCCATTGATTCACTGCATGTTCGGCCTACAATGTTTGACCTGGCTCCTTTGATAAAAGGTGCTTGATTTTGTTGGCCGATGAGCCAATCAGCACTGATTTGGAGGGGAATAGGTGATCTGTTTCTGCAAAAACTCAGCAAATATATGAATGCAACCAACCCCATATCCTGGTTTATGTAACACTGCAGTAAACCAGCTATATGAAACTCTGGAAAATACTCCCTATGGATGATTTTAAGAGACAGCACAGGAGAGCAGCTTGCTTTGCAGCTCTTGTCTGATAGAAACCTTTAACTCAGCC